AGGTGGCGGGCAGTGACCATGAACCAGCTGTCTATCTCACCACACTGGGTCCTGGCTTCAGATCTGTGCAGCACCACCTGTTGTGGTCACTTGGTGGGGGGGTGAATCATCAGACAGAAGATCTTCCTCTCTCTCCTCCTCCTCTCTTTATATCTGACTTTGTAATAAAAATAAATAAATCTTGAAAAAAAACTTGTTATTCCTTCTGATTTCACTTAAACATCATCCTCTTTTCAGAACTCTTTCCTGGTCCCTAGGTTAGGTTAGATGCCCAGGCACTAAGTGCCAGTGACGTCTTCTCTGGTGCCAGTCACTGTTCAGTGTGATGCCTTGCCCTTTGGAAACAGCAGAGTCACATGTTGTGACTCAAGACTTGCATCCCAGAAGCCTGACAGAGGGGCGAATAGGCTGCCGTCTGAAAAGACCAAGGAACTAAATGAATGAGCTTCCATTTGCAGGTTTACATAAGCATCCCACTGTCAAAAAATGTTTACAGGTGAGATTTTCCATTTATCTACAAATGGCAGATCACTGGCTTGGAAATATACATGCCATGGTAAACCATTGGCATATTTGAAGAAGGGCAAGCAAGGGGGAAATTTACAGGCAAAAATAAGAATTACATTAGATAGTTTGAAAAAATCTACGCCAATCCGAAGCTGGGAACCAGGAACCTCTTCCAGGTCTCCCACACGGGTGCAGGGTCCCAAGGCTTTGGCCCGTCCTTGACTGCTTTCCCAGGCCACAGGCAGGGAGCTGGATGGGAAGTGGAGCTGCCGGGATTAGAACCAGCGCCCATATGGGATCCCAGCGCGTTCAAGGTGAAGATTTTAACCGCAAGGCCACACCACCAGGCCCGGAATAATAAGTTCTTTTAGAGCAAGGGATGGTTGGTGGTGAAGGAAGCTCCAAGTGAGGGGTGTTGGGGATGAGGGGAATCCAAGGCACAGACATTGAGTGTGGTGAGAGATGCTCTTGGAGGGGTGAGAGGGCTTGGACTATAGCAACCACTGCCTGCACACGATTGCTGGACCATGTTTGAGTCTGGCTTCTCCCTCAGACTGTCAAAGTTCACCATGGCAACCGAGTCAGTCCTGTTTCCTGCTGTGAACTCTGCTATACCTGGCTATATGCTGTGCCCTTCATGACGGCCTGTTGAATCTGCATGTTTCTGTGAATCGTAGTTTACATCTCTGCAATTCAGAACGTTCACCAGCACGGCTGCCTTTATTACTGCATTCTTCCAAGCAAAACGACAATGTGAAAACACTTTATAAAGTGTAATACATGGGGCCCGGCGTGGTGGCGCAGTGGCGCAAGTGGTTAAGGTCCTCGCCTTGCACGCCCGGGATCCCATATGGGCGCCGGTTCTAATCCCAGCAGCCCTGCTTCCCATCCAGCTCCCTGCCTGTGGCCCGGGAAAGCAGTCGAGGACAGCCCAAAGCTTTGGGACCCTGTACCAGCGTGGGAGAACTGGAAAAGGCTCCTGGCTTCAGATTGGCTCAGCTCCAGCCTTTGCAATCTCTTGGGGAGTGAATCATCGGATGGAAGATCTTCCTCTCTGTCTCTCCTCCTCACTGTATATCTGACTTTCCAATTAAAAAAAAAGTGTAATACATTATACTTATTTTAAAAAGATTTATTTTTATTGCAAAGTCAAATATGCAGAGAAGAGGAGAGACAGAGAGGAAGATCTTTCATCCGATGATTCACTCCCCAAGAGATTGCAAAGGCTGGAGCTGAGCCAATCTGAAGCTAGGAGCCAGGAGCTTCTTCTGGGTCTCCCATGCAAGTACAGAGTCCTAAGGCTTTAGGCTGTCCTCAACTGCTTTCCCAGGCCACAAGCAGGGAGTGAGATGGGAAGTGGGGCCGCCGGGATTAGAACCAGTGCCCATATGGGATCCCAATGTGATCAAGGCGAGGACTTTAGGTGCTAGGCCACAGGGCCAGGTCCATGATACTTATTTTTTTTTTTAAAGATTTATTTTATTTTTCTTGGAAAGGCGGATATACAGAGAGGAGAGACAGAGAGGAAGATCTTCCGTCCGATGATTCACTCCCCAAGTGAGCACAACGGCCGATGCTAGATCTGAAGCCAGGGGCTTCTTCCGGGTCTCAAAGCTTTGGGCTGTCCTTGACTGCCTTCCCGGGTCACAGGCAGGGAGCTGGATGGGAAGCAGGGCCGCCGGGGTTAGGACCGGCACCCATATGGGATCCCGGGCATTCAAGGCAAGGACCTAAACCACTTGCACCATCGCGCTGGGCCCCCATGATACTTATTTTAAAGGTAGATGATACTTTGTCACAGATAAACATAAACCAGTACCTCTGCTGAGTTTCTCACAATTTCTGGGGGAGGAGTCTAGTTTATCCCACTCAACTTGAGGGGGAAAAGTCCCACAGACATTCCCTTAGTGGAATCATCACATGCATTAGGAAGAATTTCAGCAGGCCGGTTTTCTCTTCCCATTTCTTCAGGTGATTCCTATCATTTCAGATGGGCTGTTTCCTGCTAGCAAAGCATTCATCAAACCAAGTAACTGCTTTATTCTTGACCCAGAAGAGATCCTACCTAGTTCCTAAGTGTGTCCTCATTTATTGTCACTGCTGAGTCACTAATCCTTGAAAGCACACATTTTCCATCTTTGTACTGCTAGCATCCGACATCACGGCTATTGATACTGAGTATCTGTCCGACGTTATAGGTAAACTGACCCTGCACTTCCACCTCGCACTTCTAAATACTTTTATTTAATGCACTTAAATGGCGTTGCCAATTACATTATCAAATACTCCATGCATTGTAAGTTGAAGGGGAAAAGGATCAATACGCAGATCTTGGACTTCATTTTAATCTTCCGATTTTCTAGTTTGTCTTATTGTCAGTCTAACCAAACAGCAAGTAATAATGCTTGAACCCATTTTATACTTTTTTTTTGTTAAATATTTATTTTTATTGTAAAGTCAGATATACAGAGAGGAAGATCTTCCATCCCATGATTCACTTCCCAAGTGATCACAAAGGTTGGTGCTGCGCCGATCCAAAGGCAGGAGCCAGGAGCCTCCTCCAGGTCTCCCACGCAGGTGCTGGGTCCCAGGGCTTTGGGCCGTCCTCGACTTCTTTCCCAGGCCACGAGCAAGGAGCTGGATGGGAAGTGGGGCAGCCGGGATTAAAACTGGCACCCATATGAGATCCCGGCGCGTTTAAGGTGAGGACATTAGCTGCTAGGCTACTGTGCCAGGCCTCATTTTATAGTTTTTAAAAAGATTTTTATTTATTTGAAAGACACTGCATAAGGGAGTGAGCGAGCTTCCATTTGCTGGTTCACTCCCCAAATGTCTACAATGGTCAGGGCTGGGCCAGGCCAAAGCCATCATCCTGGAACTGCATCTGGGTGTCCCAGTGGGATGGTGGGGCCCCCAACATGTGGGCCACCTGTTGCTCTTCCGGGTGTGGCAGTAGGAAGCAGGACTGAAGTCGAGCTGGCAGTCCACTCTTCCTGGAGCCACAACACAAATGTCCATCCTTGGGGTCTGTGCAATGTCCACAGCACATACAGCTGCTTCTGCTTTCACATTCAGTTCTCTGACTGAATTATTACTATTTTTTTATTACAAAGTCAGATATACAGAGAGGAGCAGTCAGAGGGCAAGATCTTTCGTTCGATGATTCACTCCCCAAGTTGTGCCCATATGGGATCCTGGCGTGTTCAAGGGAAGGACTTTAGCCGCTAGGCCACGGCACTGGGCCCAATTCTCTGACTTAATTCTTATACAAACAAGTTCCTTGAGTCCTACCCTACAGCTTTTTAGAGTCACTGCTTTTCTAACAAATTTTCTAGCTCTTGTTTTTTGTAGTAGTAATCTCAGACAGAAGAGTTTAAGCATTTTAAAGGAAGAACTGAGATTTAATGTTTAAGGTCCTTGCCTTGAACACGCCAGGATCCCACATGGGCACCGGTTCTAATCCCAGCAGCTAGACTTCACTTCCAGCTGCCTGCTTGTGGCCTGGGAAAGCAGTTGAGGATGGCCCAAAGCCTTGGGACCCTGCACCCACGCGGGAGACCTGGAAAGTTCCTGGCTCCTGGCTTTAGACTGGCGTGGCACCAGCCGTTGCGGCCACTTAGGTAGTGAATGATCAGACAGAAGATCTTCCTCTCTGTACATCCGCCTTTCCAGTAAAATAAATAAGTCTTAAAAAAAAAAAAAAGAATTTGTGACTGAGTATTTTGGTCCACATTTGCATATCTTAAATTTTCTAATTTTATATTTAGATAAACAGAAAAACCGAGAGGTGGGTGTTTGCGCTACTGATTAAGGCAACAGGTGTCATCTCACAGTACCCAGCTAGTTCCCTGCACAAGACCCTGGGATGGGGCGGGCAGTGGGTAACTGGCCTCCCCTACATAGGGACCCTGGAATGAGTTCCTCCCAGTTTCAGCCAATGAGCTTGCAGACGGGAGAAAAAAAACTTTTTTGTGGGTGTTGTGGTTTCCTATTAACGTGGTATGCCTTCCTAAATTCGCTTATTGTACCTCTTCGCAGAAAAACTTTTCATACATATGCCTTAACGGTTCCCGGTCTCCCAGGCCTGCGCGCCGGGGACAGGCAGGCACTGATGCCCAGCGACGGGCGCCGCCAGCAGCAACACACCTGCTGCACGCACGGCCTTGAAAGCAACCCGGCATCCCAAGAACAGCCATGGGACCTCACGCACAAGCTGAGCACGAACCTGTGCAGACACCTGCCTTTCCCCGGAACTCATCAATCCTCCCCTGGCGCCTTGGCAATCCCCGTCCCTCAACGCCGCCCCGAGACGCCCGAGTGCGCAGCCCAAACACGCGCTCTCCGACGACGCCGTAACCCGCCACGTCAGCCGGCGTGCGCGGCGCCAGCGCGCCTGCGCGTGCCGAGGGGGCAGGGCGCGCGGCGACACCCGCCCCTACATCCGGGGCCTGGGCCGCGGCAGTGCCGCCGCGCGGGGATCACGTGGCCCCTTCCTTTCCGTCTCTGGCCGGCTGGGCGCGGGCGACTGCTGGCGAGGCGCGTGGGTCCTCGCGCTGGTTCCCCTCAGTCCCCTCTGCCGGCCCTGGCCATTGGGGAGTTGGCTGACCCCGGGTGAGCCGAGCCTGCCGCCAAGATGCCGGCCTACTTCCAGAGGCCGGAAAATGCGCTCAAACGCGCCAACGGTGAGTTGGGGAGGGATCGGGGCGCGCCGGCCGGGGCTGCCGGAGGCCTCGGAGTCCGAGGGCCCGGCCCCCTCCTCGCTGCTCGGCCGCCCGCCCGCGGCCGCCTTTCCGGCCCGTGGCTGGGCTCCGCGTCCCCTCCCAGGCCGACCGAGCGGGGGTGGGAGGCGCCCGGCCGGGAACCGTCGCCCCGGGGGCCCTTCTCTCTCCCGCCGCCCGCTGCTGCGTCTCAGCGGCTGCGATCCTGGGGTCCGGGCGGCCCCCGGTCCCCGCCCCCGGGCTGGCCTTCCACCCCGCGGGGCTTCCGCCTGCCTAGGCCCGGCTGCCGGGCCGCCATCTGGGAGTGCCGGGGAGGAGGAAACATGGCTCCCTCCCGGGGACAATGCACGCGAGCTTCTCGGCTCCACCTCCCGCCGGCCGCAGCCCGGCCGAGTGCCCTGGCCCCCTCTGCGCCCTCCCCTCCCTCGTCCCAGGCCGTGCGCCCAGGCTCTTCCCTGCGCAGGGCCGGCCTGGGCAGGGTCCACTCGGCCTCCGCCCGGCCACAGGGTTCACTCTGGGTCCTCTGACCCATTTCGTCGGCTTCCTTGTTTGCTCCTGGCATGGTTTAGGGGGGCAGTCCGAAAGGCGATTCCGAAGCTCAGGAAGTTGGAACGGAGTGAATATTGGAAAGGGATTTTGAATTCTCGCTTAAAGAGAACGAAACACTGAGAGAGAGGAGAGAGAATTTCCCAAGGTCACTCGGGGAATGAGTTGCTGCGCGAGGGCTGACCCAAGGTCTCAGTGTGCAGATGTGCGACTTTTCCACAAGTGCACGCATGGCGTGGTCGCTCGGGGCAGGGCTGGCGCGCCCAGGTCTCCGCAGGAGGCATTTATTACGTCGCATTACAAGGGTGCAGGGCGTTTTATGCGTCTATCTGGTCTTTAAAAGCGTTCTCGTTAAAGTGTTTTTTTTTTTTTTTTTTTCCTTTAAACGTATCCATGTTTAATCCGTATCTTGTTTTCACCTTTTGCTGGCCAGGTTGTAGGTGGATGTTGGAGTCCTACAGTGCATACGTGTTTGGGGAGGTTATCTTGTTAGCTTGCCTGAAATTTCATTTTGTGAAAAGCTTAGCTGAAGTCATTGGGCGAAATCGGTGCCAGTGATGCTCTGTCAGCTCCCCAGATGTGTTGGTCGCATCCTTTCTATTTTAAGCTAAAAGTAGCACTTCTGTGGAGGGCGAGGGACCGGTCTGGAGGATAGTTCCAAATTCTGAGGATGATAGTAACTATTAAAGCATGTGCACACGACATCCTACGTTTGATCAGTAATTGTAATCGAGTGCTAAGAACAGACAGCTTCAGGCACTGTTTTAGTTTATGAGAAAAAGTAAATTAAAGTAGAAACCCATTACAGCAAGCTATGCTTTAAAATTCCAGATTGTGGTACATAAAGTGGCCTCCTGAGCTGTCAGTAGGTATGTTTGTACCCCACCCCCACGCCGGCAGGCTGAAGCGCTGTGAATTTCAGTGGCCCAAATTATACAGGCTCAGGGTTGTTCCCTTCCTAATCCCTGCCTTTGGAATCTTCGTGTGGATTTAACACTTTAGTAACTTTTGAAAATTAGAATACATACAGGAAATCAAAATTTCTTTCAGTTTCTAAGTTGCAGTTGGCTTGATTCATGATGTGAAAGTTGGGGACAGCATCTGAGTGTGGAGTAGGATGAGGATAGTGTGGGTGTGAACCTGTGTCTGAGAAGGCAGCCTTCCCTTCCTGTGCTGCCTGTTGCCTGTGGTTTTAGGAATGAGCAGGCCAGCTGGCCCAGGGCTGCTAGGACACCTGGACCTGGACAGAGAAAGGCCACCTCAATCTTTAGGTCTAAGCATCTTATCTGTAACATTTGTAATGCCAGACATTCCAATTCACTGGCTTAGCTCAAAATGCAAATGCATTTGAGCACAGTAATTTTTCAGCCTAACCTGTCTGTATCAGAGGAATATTTTAAGAGAAAAGATTTATTTTACTACAAAGTCAGATATACAGAGAGGAGGAGAGACAGAGGAAAAACTTCCTTCCTATGATTCACTCCCCAGGTGACCTGCAGTGGTCGGTGCTGCGCCGATCCAAAGCCAGGAGCCAGGAGCTTCCTCCAGGTCTCCCACACAGGTGCAGGGTCCCAAGGCTTTGGGCTGTCCTCAACTGCTTTCCCAGGCCCCAAGCAGGGAACTGGAAGTGGAGCTGCTGGGATTAGAACCAGCGCCCATATGGGATCCTGGTGTGTTGAAAGTGAGGACTTGAGCAGCTAGGCCACTGCATGCCTGGCCTTTAATTTTTTATTTAAATTCAAAATCAGTGCGTTAAGACCAAGTTGTTGCTACTACAGGCACAACTGGGTAACATTATAGCTTTCCTGTTAGGTGTATTGTACAAGTAGACTTAAACCAAGGACTGACAGTAACTTTCATTATCTAGGAAGATACAGAGTTTCTGACAGGTGCCTGAAAGGTAAGCTCAAAATGCTTACTTTCCTAGGAATAGTTTATAAATGCTAGGTTTTGGTTTTAATATCTGTAAGATTAATGTAGACATCAACTGTGAAGGGTCTTGAAAAGCTCCCTCTCCTTTAACTCATTTAGAGAAGCAAAGTCCTCTTTGTAATAAGTTGGGATAGAATGGAAGATTCATCATTGAGTTCTATGAAAAAAATTTATCCCTATTCCAGTGGTTTTCTTTCATAAAGTTCCTTTTCCTAACCATTTTGTCTTTATTTGGTGAGAGGCAGGATGTCCGTTGTAAACTTTCTCCTGCATTTGCTTTGGTTTGAGACAGTTTCAAAGTGAAGAAATATGGAATTTGGGGACAAATGCTTGCCATGGCAGTGAAGTCCTGCTTGGGATGCACACAGCTTCTGATCCCAGCTCCCTGCTGATGAGTGGGCTGCAGTGGGTGGGTCCTTGCAGTTAAATCCCACGTGGTGCCCAGGAGCCTGCATTCAGCCTGGGTTAGCTCTGGACTGGTAACAGACATTTGGGGGAGTGAACCAAGGATGTTGGGGCCATTGGTTAGGCTTGCTCACTCCACCTTTCAAATAAAGCAGGGAGAGTTGGAATTGGAAGTTTTGATTGACTTTAAGAAGGAGAACACACTTTTTCTGTTTTTTAAACAAGACTCCCATTTAGAGTAAGAGATGGGGAAAGTGGGTTATTTGTAGACAGTTTTTATCCTGTCATCATTCTGCTAGCACTAGCTCATCAGTTTAATTTGATTTGTGTTATAAACTTGGTGATGCTTGTATATAGTAGTTTAATGTGTAAAATTTTAGTACTGTAAAAATGGGAGGCTAGTCATTTCAGTAGTGCTGCTGTGTTTTTTTTTACAATGTAAAGAATCGAACAAAGTATCAGCATCTCTTATGGGTGGTGGTTCTGGTTCCAACTGCTTCACTGCCCATCCAACTCTCTGCTTGTGGCTTGGGAAAGCAGTAGAAGATAACCCAAAGCCTTGGGACCCTGCACCCGTGCATGGAGACCTGGAAGAAACTCCAGGCTCCTGGCTTCAGATTGGCTCAGCTCCAGCCAATGTGGCCATCTAGGGAGTGGACCAGCAGATGGAAGATCTTTCTGTTTCTCCCTCTCTGTATATCTGACTTTCCAATACAAATAAATACATTAAAAAAAAAAATAGGTCTATTTCAAAATAGAATGGTGGAGAGAGAGAAAGCTTCCATCCTGTGCTTCATTCTCTAAATGGTTGTCCACAGCTGGGTCTGGGCTAGACCATGCCAAGAATCAGGAACTCCATCCGGGTCTCCCCTGTCAGTGGCACGAACTCTGGTGCTTGACCCTTTTGGTCTGTTTGCAGGTATATTTCGAGGTAGTTGGGTTGGTGTCATTTAGCTGGGGCATGTGGGTGTAGACCATCCCAAGCAGTGGCTTAAGCGTGCTGTGCTGTGGTACCAGCCCCTCATATTGATAAATGGTTTTTGAAGTACCTGCTGTTAGTCTCTAACTTCCTCATGTTTAGTAAATAAGCTTGGACAATCTGTTTATGGATTGGAAACTGGATAGTTACTCTGTACGTCTATCAGATCCTACATACTTACTGTAAAACAACATGGAAAGGCAGAAAACCCAGGTAAATCTGATAGTGAGGAACAAAGTTGGAGCACTAACCACCTGGTTTCAGCAACCTGGTTTCATAGGCTCTGTTAATCTACATAATAGAATACCTATAAATGGAATAATAGATTAAGACACTTTCTATAGAGCTGGTCCTATACAGGCACCCATATTGATTGCTCTACTTCCAACTTGGCTCCCTGTTAACGGCCTGGGAAATAGTGGAGGAGGCCCCAAATGCTCGGGCCCTGCATTCTGTGACAGAGCCTGGAGGATGCTCTTGGCTTCAGCCTAGCCCTACTCTTGCTGTTGCAGCTGATGGAAGACGCCCCTCCCCTGCTCTGTCCCTCTTTCTGCAACTCAGCGCTTCAAGTAAATAAACGCATCTTTTTAAAAAGAAAGCTCAGCAACAGACCCATCTGAGTGTGTATATATAGTCAGTTGATCTTGGCTGGCAGTGGCAGTCTCATGTTTTCTCCTGCCTTAGTGATGTGAACAGTCAACAGTTTCCTCAGCTAGATCTGGGTGACTGAAGGTAATTGGATTTTGAGATTTTCTTACTTCATGACTTAATTTTCTGGAACCTTTAAATCACAGTGGAATTGAGTAAAATTCAATTTTACTGTGGATAGTGTTTTGAGAGTAGCAATATTCACTGATTTATTTTGGATAATTTTGGCATAATTTTCAGAGTCAAAAATGTGACCCACAGAAAGTTGGTAATGAGTAGGAATTAAAGCAGCCAGTTGAAACAAGAGTCAGACTTTGGTGTTGTATATGTTGATTTTAATGATCCTGAATTTCAGAATTTCTTTTTTTTTTTTTCCAGAATTTCTTGAGGTTGGCAAAAAACAGCCTGCTTTGGATGTTCTTTATGATGTTATGAAAAGTAAGAAACACAGAACATGGCAAAAGATACACGAACCAATTATGCTGAAATACTTGGAACTCTGCGTGGACCTTCGCAAGAGCCACTTGGCTAAGGAAGGATTATACCAATATAAGAACATCTGTCAGCAGGTACGCGTGAGCCAGTTTATATCTTGAAGGGATGCTTTTAAAGTTTGTGGAAGAGTTTTCTTTTCAAAGTTAATGTACCTTATATCAAAATTTACTTTTGAAGCTTTGTCTAGTTTCATTGGGAAAACAGTTTGCCATTTGGTTTCTGTTATTAGGTGAACATTAAATCTTTGGAGGATGTTGTCAGGGCGTATTTGAAGCTGGCAGAGGAGAAAACCGAAGCTGCTAAGGAGGAGTCCCAGCAGATGGTGTTGGATATAGAAGATCTGGATAATATTCAAACCCCCGAGAGGTGTGTGGGCTGAACTCGAAAACGTTTCTGATGGTCATCACAACAATGCTTGCTTGCAGTCTGAAATGATGTAATACTCAAAGGTAGAGCAGTGTAGCTCTAAGAGAAAAGAGTGTACAATAATTAAAATGTTGTTTGGGACTTCCCACGGTAGGGAATGCTGAGCCTCTCACTGTGTAGAGTTGTAGGAGCAATTTTCACTGTTTTCAGATGATGACTTTTGATTTTGGTTTTGGATTTTAATCATGTGACGAAGTGGGAAATCATGTCTGGTTACCGGGTTTTCCTGTCTCTGCAGTGTTCTGCTGAGTGCTGTAAGTGGGGAAGACACTCAGGATCGGACTGACCGACTGCTTCTAACTCCCTGGGTTAAATTCCTGTGGGAATCGTACAGACAGTGTTTGGACCTCCTTCGAAACAACTCTAGAGTGGAACGCCTCTACCATGATATTGCCCAACAAGGTAAAATGGCAACATGCGATCTGAATAAATGATTCGAAAAGTTGATAACCCCTTCTGATTTGCAGACTAACCTTTTCTTTGTTAGTACTTAAAATCAACTAGTGTTGGACATTATTGGAATAAAATTGACATTTTAGTCTTAAGTAAGTGTTGCATTAGTAGCTAGTTTTACTAGTTCAGAACACTTCCACATGAAATGCACATGCAAAGACTTGAACATGGAGTTCTCCAGGTTGGAGGGAAAAAAAAGAAAAACTCTCCAGGTGACCGGGAAGAACTCCATTACTACAAATTCTTGGTAGGCTCTGTGCCTCTTGGGTGTCAAAGGTTTCTGCATTTAAAGAATTCTGTGAGTGTTGGTGGTTCCTTCCTTCCTTCCTTCCTTCCTTCCTTCCTTCCTTCCATCCATCCATCCATCCATCCATCCATCTATCCATGCATCTATTGCAGTAGAACTGAATACAAGATGCAGTTGTGAGGAACATGGACAATCCTAGTGTCAGTTGTTACTTTACATGTGCTTTGAGCCTTGGAGGGGCTGGGCTGGATGCATTTCCTGTGGAGAATTGGGGTCGCGGCTTGGTCCCTGGCTGCTGCTACACTGGGATGCTGCAGCGCATGCTGCAGTCTTACAGGGTGATCAGCATGTGTGAGTGCTTTTGGACTAGGAGTGCTTAGCTGGGGTATTGGAGCCTGTGTTTTTGTTTACATGGATTGCATATGAATTTTCACCCAACACAAGTAAACTTAGGCATTTTGATGATTAATTTTAATTTAAGATCTGTTGAATGACTTTTAAGAGCACAGTAATTCTAGAACAAGAATGTTAATATTGCGTGTGTGTCAGTCAGAAGTTACTGTACTTCGGTGATGGCCAAGCCGTTCACATACATGTGTATATACAGTTGCAGTTAGGTCTTTGCTAATCTCTAGTTTTAATTAGTGTAAGTGGCTTTCTTTGCCACTGTATCTCAGAAATATTTGTAGGATGTGAAGTGTTAGATCTGAATTCCAGTTTTCCGTTTGTAAGCTTCTGGAACTCCAGCAGAAGCTGGAACTAGGGCAGGACTGATGGCTTTATCTTTGGTTTTGTAGAGGTCAGTTAAAAGCCTAGTGAGGACATGGAGTAAGTGATGACACTTCATCAGTCACCTTCAAAAACTGGTGATGAATTTGGTGAATCTTGGTTAATATCTGATCTTAATATGTGAAGTAAAATAAAAACTTTAAGTTGACGGTAGAAGTTTCCTAATGTTTTTTGCTGTGTTTGTTTATAGCCTTCAAATTCTGCCTTCAGTATACTCGTAAGGCTGAATTCCGTAAGCTGTGTGACAATTTGAGAATGCATTTAGCACAAATCCAGCGCCACCATAACCAGAGCACAGCCATCAATCTGAATAACCCAGAGAGCCAGTCTATGCACCTGGAGACGCGGCTCGTGCAGCTGGACAGCGCCATCAGCATGGAGCTGTGGCAGGTAGGTTGGCATCGTAACAACAGTGTGTTAACTTACTGCTCTCTGTTCCCTAATGAGAATCATCTTAGTGTGCATTGGTTAATTCTAATAGGTAAATTGAGGAATTTAATGTTGTCTGATGGATTAAAAATACTTTTAGACAGGAAGCTTAGAGTATTTTTGTTTGCTTGCCTGTGAAATCTGGGCCAAATCTGTTCCAGTCCAGTTTCTGTCTTGTGCTGGTCCTAGCATGGTTCCTTGACTGTTGTCAGTGTGGGAATAGGTTAAGTTGCTATATGGACAGAGAAACGTGTTAACATCCCCAGGAGATTTTTCTGTTGTTGTTGTTGTTGTTAAAGATTTATTTACTTGAAAAATGTATGGAGAGGGAGAGATCTTCATTTGCTGGTTCACTTTCCTAATGGCTGGCCTAAACTGAAGCAGGTGCTTCTTTGGAATCTCCCACGTGAGTGCAGGGTCCCAAGCACTTGGAAATGAAAACAATTGACTTGCCTTTCGCTGCTGTGGGTCATTTACTGGGTATATCCTGTGCCGCTCTGCTGTGTGCTGAATGCCACACATTGGAGGTCTGGGGAGCTGAGAAATTTGCCTTCTCAGCCTGGCCTTTGTTTTAAGACTCTAGTTTAGGGGCTACCATTATGGGAGAGCAGCTGACTTCAGCGTTTCCTGGACATTGGTTTGTGTCCTAGCCACTCCACATCTAACCTTCCTGCTGTAGCCTGAGAACGCAGCAGAAGGTGGTCCCAGAACTTGGGACTGCCACCGTCGAGGGAGTAGGAAGAAGCCGTGGCTCTTGGCTTTGGCCTGGCCAACTGCAGGCTGTTGTCACTGTCTGGGGAATGAACCAGCAGGTGGAAAACAACTGTCTCTATATTTTTCTTTTTTAGTAAAAAAGAATACAGTTCAGACATTATTATGTAGCCTTAAAAACTTGAAGCCTTTTCATTTTCGGCAAAAATGTGTAGTTTAAACTAGAACAAGCCCAAATTTCAGAGTGTTTCAGCCCAATAAGAATTGATCTGATCTCTTTTTCTTGTCCTATAATGTGTTCTTTTTCCATTGGGATGCCCAGACTTGTAGAAAACAAGTCTTTACTGTTATTAAAAAATGGATAAAGGAATAAAAATTCATTGTTTTGTCACTGAGAAACAGCTTGTTTGTTCTGTGCTGCATCCTTCAATTTTTTTTTCTTTATAGTGCTCAAGTAGCATATTATGTAAATATTTTCCTTCCAGCATGCTCCGTGCAGTGTTTCCTAAAGAAATCTGAAGTTACATTTGCTGCATTTATTTTTAGGTGCTGTATATTTTGGGTTTTCATAGATGTGCAAGTTAGGTTTGCTTTGTAATGAAAGGACTGTAACCTATGCTGTTGATTTCAGGAAGCGTTCAAAGCTGTGGAAGATATTCATGGGCTATTCTCATTGTCTAAAAAGCCACCTAAACCTCAGTTAATGGCAAATTACTATAATAAAGTCTCAACTGTGTTCTGGAAATCTGGAAACGCTCTTTTTCATGCATCTACACTCCATCGTCTTTACCATCTGTCCAGAGAAATGAGGAAGAATCTTACACAAGAGGAGATGCAACGGTAAGGCTGCCATACAGCTGGGCAGTGGTAAAGTGAGAACTGGCTTGGTCCATGTCAGAATTTCTCAGCCTCCACACTGTGGACGTTTTGGTTGAATAGTTCTGTTATGTGGGAATTGTCCTGTACATTGGAGAATTTTTTTTTTCAAGATTTATTTATTTATTGGAAATTCAGATATACAGAGAGGAGGAGAGACAGAGAGGAAGATCTTCTGTCTGATGATTCACTCCCCAAGTGAGTGCAACGGCCGATGGTATGCCAATCCAAAGCCAGGATCCAGGAACTTCTTCCAGGTCTCCCACACGGGTGCAGTGTCCCAAGGCTTTGGGTCGTCCTCGACTGCTTTTCCAGGCCCCAAGCAGGGAGCTGGATGGGAAGTGGAGCCACCAGTATTAGAACCAGCATTCATACGGGATCCCGGCGTATTCAAGGCGCGTTCAAGGCGAGGACTTTAGCTGCTAGCTAGGCCATGCCTCCGGGCCTATGGAGAATGTTTTTGAAGCACCCTTCCCCTTTCCTGTTATAATTGTTCACTTATGGTATTTTAGTAACACCCTATCCCCCATTTATTTTACCTTGGTTGGTGAAGCTGCCGTAGTTTTATTTATGAAACTATGCCTTCTCTGCCATTTAGTCACAATCTTATCAAAAGCGATGTCAGTACCAGGTGGGTGGATAAAGTAGGATTCCACAAGTATTTGTTAAAGCAGAGCTTGTTTAATTCATCCCATGTCATGATAGAATAAGATTTGAAAGTTATTGTGATGTCCATATTCTGCCAGATTTTACCAGATGGTTAGAGTGCTTTTCTGCTTCCTGATGATTCCACTTTGTCCGTCACAGGATGTCTACCAGAGTCCTCCTGGCCACACTTTCCATCCCCATCACACCGGAGCGCACAGACATTGCTCGGCTTCTGGACATGGATGGTATCATAGTGGAGAAGCAGCGTCGCCTGGCAACACTGCTAGGTCTTCAAGCCCCACCGACTCGAATTGGCCTCATTAATGATATGGTTAGTGTGAGTTTCAGTAACTAACTTGCTCCACAGTTGCAGCAATTCATGATTAAATTGTGGAAGTGCTGTAGGGCGTTCGGGTGCGTTCTTCAGAACCCCTGACGGAAGTCAGCTTTGTGTTTAGTTGAGATGAGTGAGCACACTGGGGTTCAGTTAGTGTGACTTGAAGCAGAGCTTGGACTGACTGAACACGGTAGAGCACTCAGTGCCCAGGGTCATGGGTCATGGGTCATGGCTGATGGCTGATTAGGTGGCAGTCATAGGAAATGTGGTAAGGTCAGGACAGCAGATCAGAAATCTAGGTCAATTTTGGTTGCCTAAACTATTCTGACTTGTCTTAAACTCTTGTGTTACTAGAGGAGTGATTTTTGTTTTTTAAATAATCTTACTTAGTTGATTAGGGTACAAAGTGTCAAGGGCTACAGGAAAGTGGGTAAGAACATTGTTTCCACACTAATATCATCATTTTTCCCCCTCTATCTGGAGTAAGAGGAGAAACAAAGGGAAAAGCCCCACCCAGCCTCCCTCTAATCCCAGATCTCCAATGTGATGCGTGCTCTGAGGGTCCTGCTCAAGCAGTTTTGATAGCTCAACAGTTCGGAATTGCTGCCAATCTCGCCGTTCCAAGCGATGAAATCTATTCAGAATCCACTGGCTGACATAGTCTCTTCATGGTTGGGGTTCTGATATCAGTAGTTCAGTTGGAGGGATCTCCAAAGAAACTTTGTCTGAGGTGATCCCAGCCCTGATTCTTGTGTGTGCTTGCCACTACAGGGGCCGGCACATTCCGTTGCCCCAATCAGCTTGTGCACATGCTGGTGGTTGCAACTGCTGGGTCAGTTCTGTTTCCAGCCCTGTCTTACACGTGAACCAATGGGTGTTGCAGTCCATCCTGATCCTGCCCACTCCATACTGGTTGCCCTCACACAAACCAGTGGGAGTTGCAGCCTAGTTGGGGTGACTCCCCAATTGCCCCCACCAGTCCTGCCCCCACCCTGGTTCCGATGCATGCCAGTGTGTACCACAGGCTTGTTCAGTTTGTCCCACATCTCATTTAGCTCTTGTACATGTCAATGGGCATTGTAGCCAAGTTCAACTCAACCAACCCTACTATACAACCCACACACATACCGGCAGGTGCCTTTCTGTCTAGCCACCCCTGCCCCTGTCCTGGTTTTTGTGCTTTCCAGTGGGAGTGGTAACCCAAGAGGGAGGTGTCCACTATCTTCCTCTTAGGTCACTCACAAGGAGTAGTTTTTTTTTTTTTTTTTTAAAGATTTATTTTTATTATTTTGTTATTGGAAAGGCGGATATACAGAGAGGAGAGACAGAGAGGAAGATCTTCCATCCGATGATTCACTCCCCAAGTGAGCGCAACGGGTTGATACTACGCCAATCCGAAGCCAGGAGCCTCTTCCGGGTCTCCCACGCGGGTGCAGGTTCCCAAAGCTTTGGGCCGTCCTCGACTGCTTTCCCAGGCCACAAGCAGGGAGCTGGAAGGGAAGCGGGGCTGCCGGGATTAGAACCGGCGCCCATATGGGATCCCGGGTGTGCAAGGCAAGGACCTTTAACCACTTGCGCCACCGCGCCGGGCCCAAGGAGTAGTTTTAATCAGATTTATATACCGAAATGAAATTAGGTATAGGATACAGTTGTACTTTGCCCATGAATATGAAAGCCAGCAGATGTTTGAGTCCCTTACATGTGATGGTGTTATATTTGCATATAATGTACTTGTTGCCTTGTATATTGCATAACTAGTAATACAAAGTAAGTTATATTGTTTAGGGAATACAGGCAGGATAAAGACATCTAATATTTGATACAACACAATTTCTTTTTTCCAAATATATTGTCTGTGTTTGGTTAGCCAAACATTTATGCTCCATTAGCTTCAAAGGTGGACCCTGCCTTGTGCATCTTCACAGTGTGATTCCGTGGAGCCTTGTGGCATGTCTGCTCTGCGCCTGGCCAAGACATTCCACACACAACATGTCTCCCTGGCAAGCTGAAGTTCTCGGGCTTCACACTGACACTGCTTACTAGTACCGCAGTTCCTTCCAGCACATTGCTTTGAGGTGGGGGAAAACGGTACAGGTGCTGGAGACAAGGATTGTGGAGATAATTTGGGTATAGACCATTACATGTCCTTACTTTGTGAATGGAGCAGTTAAAGAAATGCCAGAAAAATACAGCACGTGCAGCTTTGTTTGGTGCTGTGTAAATGACTAATCAGGAAGCAAGTCCAGTCACTGATGGCCTTACTTTCTGGAAGAATCAATTTTGATAACAACTAGTAGGTTTTCTAGATAACAGCATTTTTCTTTTGTAACATTATCTCTTGATAATAGCAGTGTAATTTCCTTTGTTTCAAGTTTCTGGGGGAGGGGTAGGGGAAACATATAAAAGAATTTCTCCACTTTATCTCTGTGTTGTAGCCTGCTGCAATTGTCTGTGAAGTACAGTGTCTGGTCAGAATCTATGTCAAAGAAGGACTAAGTGTCAAAGCAATTGCATTATTAGAAGGAAGTTTTATTGACAGATTGTTAGCGTTTGGCCAGCAGCCATGACATGAAGATTTGGAGCCCTGTGGTGCTTATGAAGGGCAGAAATTTGGAGAAGGGCACTGGGTGGTGTCTGGGGAGTAAATAACTGCCCGACGGTATTAATGTGAATGCTGTCATATGCTGTCATGTGTCTCAGGTCAGGACCTGGACTTGCTCATCATGCAGGTGAATTGCTGAGAGCGGAGTTGGCTGCATTATTTCAGGAAAAGACTGCGTAGAGTGTGATTTTTAAATTGAAAATCCACTTACTAATTTTAGTGTGAAGAGTATTAATAATAGCCTGTCATTCCGTATGAGCTAATGGAATGTATGCCCTGTCTAGCTGTGGTGGACGGAGGATGCTTCTGAGGGAGAGCTAGTCGGGTATTTTAGGAAATCGGCTGTGCACCCAATCTGCGTTGGTGCTAGACTTGGCTGGGAGTGCCTGAGTGCGGCTGCCCACTGCTAGCAGGTGCATCAGCCAGTTTACCTGGTCTGCTCCTGTGTTTTCAAGTCTTGCTCTGGCTTAGCATTTATTCTGCTTGCCTTATTTCCCAGCATGGAACATATTCCAGTGTGAAAGAGAAGATGGAATTTTGTATAATAGGCTATTCTTAGAGTTCTATGAAATTATAATAGTCTTGTTTTCTTTGTAAAAAAGAACTTGTGATTGGCTTTGTTGTAGAGAAATTGAGTTCTATTGAAATGAAATATTCATTTAATGATCTGTAAATGTGGTTGGGTGAACTCTCACAGGGTTTTTGCTAAACATGCCACTCTTTTATCAGCCATTGTTCTGATGATAAACCACAGCTTGGTTTTATTTGTGTGGTTCACATAAAATGTCAAGTTTATGCAAAGGGAACGATGTGCAGTTTTTCACCTTATGTTTGTGAGATCTGTACTTGTTTTCTGAATGCGTCCCCTGACCACCATTCACCTCGAGCATGCTGTCATCTCCATATCCACACGGGTTTTAGGGCTGCCCTTGACAGTGTGTGTGTGAACTGGCATATATGGTCTGTACCTCAACTATGTGCATGTAATGGATGCACATTGTTCTGTGTATTTTGAATGTTTGGTAGTTTTCTTTAACATGAAATTCAAATGCTTGTCCTGTGTCCAGGGAATAAATGGCAAGATGTAAGTTCTGTGTGTTCTTTGTATAATTTCAGTTTGCAAAAATATTCAGAATGAGGTTGGGTGAATGTTTTGCTGTAGAGGACTGTTGCATGAACACCACTTTCCTCTTAGTGAACATTTAAGAATTGAGAGGAGGTAGTCTTTCCAGAGGTGGAATTCTGTAGTTTCTTAGAGTTCAGGAGCTCGCTTGAGAAGCTTCCTTTATCACATGTCGTCTTTGTTTTTGCCCACTTAGGTCAGATTCAACGTGCTGCAGTATGTTGTTCCAGAAGTGAAAGACCTTTACAATTGGCTTGAAGTGGAATTTAACCCGCTGAAGCTCTGTGAGAGAGTCACGAAGGTGAGCTGCCATATTCAGAGTTGGGGTGTGCTGCTCTGGCCAGCCCGAGTGCAGGGCTGGGTTGTATTTATGGTTCCTGAGGAAGAAGCAGTGTCACATGTGTTTGAATTCAGTGCACATTTCATCCTTTTTTCTTGGTGTCAAGAAAAAAGATATTTCTGATGTGCTAAACAAACATTGGAGGAAAATTAGCAGCATGACTGATTTAGCCATTGCTGTCAGTCACCTTCAGACAAATATCAGGAACTTTGTGGCACATATTTTACTTTTTGACATTTGTAATTTTTTTTTTAAGACTTATTCATTTTTAAATCAGAAAGCAAAGTTACGGAAAGAGAGACAATCTGCCTGCTGGTTTATACCCCAAATGGCCACAAGGGTCTGGAGACAGGAATTTCTTCTGGCTCCCATATGGGTTCAGGAGTGCCAAGGATTCTAGCCAAACTTTTCTAGGCTGTAAGCAGGGAGCTCAGTTGGAAGTAGAGCAGCTGGGACTAGAGCCAGAGCCCATATGGGGTGCTGGTACTCCTTATCTTACTGCACCGTCGGACTAGCCCTGGTGATCAGTTTGTGTAAAACAAATTGAAAGGGCAAGACTGTGGTGCAGCATGTTAGGCTGCTGTTGAGACACCTGTCTTACTGTGGAGTCTCCCCTCTGCTTCCAGTCCAGCATCCTCCTGCTCATGTGCTCCCTGGGAGGCAGCAGCCGATGAATTGAGTAGTTAGGTTCCTGCCACCCACCTGGAGACCCAAGTGGAGTTTGAGCTTTCAGCTTTGGCCTGGCCCAGCCCCATTAGTTGTAGGCATTTGAGGAGTAAGCCAGCAGATGGAAGATTTCTGTCTTTTCATGCTCTGCCTTTTCTACAAGCATAAATAATGAGCTTGAGAAAGCTTTTGCCTTTTTGACATTATCTGTTTGCAGAATGTAACCTTGTCAATTCAATGGCCTTTGTAGGTTCTGAACTGGGTGCGGGAGCAACCTGAGAAGGAGCCAGAGTTGCAGCAGTATGTGCCGCAACTGCAAAGCAACACCATCCTTCGCCTCCTGCAGCAGGTGAGGGCGTGGGGTGCTGGGTGCACCCTGGCACTGAGCTGAAATTGGACAAACTTCGAAAGCTTCCCCAAGTTCTCTTTGCTAAAATTAGTCTTATGATTAACTGAAGTAAGAATCATCACCTATTTGCTAAGAGCTGTCTTAATGCACCCTCTCCTTTTTTCCCGAATGTGGCGTTTCCTTATTTGTTTTTGTGGGCTGATGGTACCGTGGCTTTGTTGTTCAGACTCTTGTTTCTTACTAGTTTGCTTCCCATTAGAAAATGTGACATTGAGCACCTTCATATGTGAATCTTTGCACACCTCTCTGACTTTGTCTTGTGTCAATGTGGAATTAGTCAGAATTGACGCCGGAAAGCTTTAGAGACTGCACAGAAAACTTGGCAGGCAGTCACTGCCCCTCGTGAGGAGGTTACTTTTCCCCAGTGTTATAAATCAGTAGTGTTTTCTTTTTATGCATTTCATCTATCTTCTTGAGTAAGTTTGAGTATTGTGTCTTATAATAGCTTAAAGTTCCTGTCCCACGTGTTTTCGTTTAGGGGGTGGCTGTCCTGTAGTCATGTCATTTTCTGCACATTTCATTGACCTGCTTTCCTTTCTACATGTAAGCAGTGTTATTTCTGATGTGCTATACAAAACTGAAGGCTAATTAGCAGCCTGACTATGAAGTAGTAATGCTGCCAGTCTCCTTCAGACATGATTTTTAGAAAATGTTTAAATGTAAGTAAAGGTAAGTAGCAGGTAATAGCTGTGTGATTATTTAAGTTTTTTGATGGTGAAACTAGGAGTTGAAAAGATAAGAGAATATTTGAGGAAAACTTAAGCATGATGATGCACAGCCTAGGATTTGTAGTAGATGGCTAGGAATTGACCTCCAGTTCCGGCTATATACTGTTAGCATGAGCTGAGTTTTAGCAAGCAGTTTTTGCTTGGCATGCTGTCATAAGATTGTACATTACATGATAGAAGGTGGCTGTCACTAACCATGTGTTTTATATGCAGGTGGCCCAGATTTATCAGAGCATTGAGTTTTCTCGTTTGACTTCTCTGGTTCCTTTTGTTGATGCTTTCCAACTGGAACGGGCCATAGTAGATGCAGCAAGGCATTGTGACCTGCAGGTATGTGCTGTTAGGGGACACTAAGTCTAAAATTTTATTATTGTTATTTTTAAAAAAGATTTATTTATTTTTATTATAAAGTCAGATATATAGAGAGGAGAGACAGAGAGGAATATCTTTCATCTGATGATTCACTCCCCAACTGAACTGCAATGGCCGGTGTCATGCCGATCCGAAGCCAGGAGCCAGGAACTTCCTCCAGGTCTCCCACACGGGTACAGGATCCCAAAACATTGGGCCGTCCTGCTTTCCCAAGCCACAAGCAGGGAGCTGGATGGGAAGTGGAGCAGCTGGGTCATGAACAAGTGCCCATGAGGATCCTGGCACTTGGAAGACGGGAATGGAACTGAGCCATTGTGCTGGACCCTGAGAGATGACATACTGTAGTTTCTATGCTTTTGATAAAGTGAAGCAGCTGGGACATGTAGTTTTTTAACTTTTGGTATAGTGGTATCATTTTAGCACTCCTCTTAGCCAATCATTTAGATTCGCAATGTAGCCTTTGTTTATTTTCTGATTCACTTCAGATTTGTATGGAAAACCTTTAATTTGGATAGCAACTTCATGTTTCTTACTAATTTCAAAGGTTCGTATTGACCACACTACTCGCACTCTGAGCTTTGGATCTGATTTGAATTATGCTACCCGCGAAGATGCTCCAATTGGTCCTCATTTGCAAAGCATGCCTTCAGAGCAGATCAGAAACCAGCTCACAGCCATGTCCTCGGTGCTGGCCAAAGCGCTTGAAGTCATTAAACCAGCTCACATACTGGTAGGCATTTTTTAAATTAAGATTTGTTTATGTATTTGAGACAGTGACAGTTTAAGAGAGCAGACAGATCTCTCATTGCTCGTTCACTCCTCCGGAAGAGGAAGCTGTGAGGTTGAGGCAGCAGCCAGGGGCGCCTCCTGACTCTCCCAGCGTGTTGATGGAAACCCTCAACCACTGCCTCTCAGGCATGTTAGTAGGCAGCTAGATCGGAAGTGCAGTAGATGGGTCTGGAAATGGCGCTCTGATACAGGATACTGGCATCCCAGGTGGTTTCTTGACCCAACGAGCCATAGTGCCTGCCATGGTATTTCTTTTGTGAGGGAGAATCAGCTAGAGTGTTTGAGGCACTCTTGTACCAAATCGCTCACAGAAAGGCTTGAGAAGATGTCTGAAAGGAATTTCCAATTCACTTGTGTTTGGTAGTTTATTTTGTCAGATATTGTGACAGGACACACAGTGCATGTGCTTTCCTTGGAAAAAAGCATTGTACTACTCAGGAAGTTAGGAGTATGGGTTGTGCGCATGTCATGACCACGCAAGGCGGGGAGTAACTTCTTGCTTGTGAGTGTGTTGGTACTCTTCTGTAGCTTGCACATTTCTGGGGGATTTGGTGCAGGGGAAGGTAGACTTCACAGAAAAGGTTCTTCAGCTGTGGCATTGCCATTCAGGCTGAGTGGGCGCAGCACCCAGCATTGGGTACTGGAAGCAGGTGGCTTGGACAGATGCATGCGCACATGGGCAGCACTCAGAATCAGGAGAGTTTCTTGAAAGGCTAATACACCAGGTATGACGCTGCAGTCATTTGTGAAACTTTTTTTTTTAAAGCAAGAAAAAGAGGAGCAGCATCAGTTGGCTGTTACTGCATATCTGAAAAACTCGCGGAAGGAGCATCAACGCATCCTGGCTCGCCGACAGACAATCGAGGAACGGAAAGAAAGGCTGGAGAGTCTGAATATTCAGCGGGAGAAAGAAGAGCTGGAGCAGAGGGAAGCCGAGCTGCAGAAAGTTCGGAAAGCTGAGGAGGAAAGGCTGCGCCAGGAGGCAAAGGAGAGAGAGAAGGAGCGGATCTTACAAGAACATGAGCAAATCAAGAAGAAGACTGTGCGTGAGCGTTTGGAGCAGATCAAGAAGACAGAACTGGGGGCCAAAGCATTCAAAGACATTGACATTGAGGTATGTCCTGCGTTAGGCCTTTTTCCCTCAGTGAAGCCCGTTAGCCACGAGCTGTCTGTTAACGGTGTGTTTGCGTGACTGCTTAGGATCTTGAAGAACTGGATCCAGATTTCATCATGGCCAAACAGGTTGAACAGCTGGAAAAGGAAAAGAAGGAACTTCAAGAACGACTAAAGAATCAAGAAAAGAAGGTAAAGAAGGGACCAGGTAGCTGTGAACATAACGTTAAAAGAGATTTTTGTCTAAAAAGCTGAATTGGTTTTTGTGTCATTCAGATCGACTATTTTGAAAGAGCAAAACGTTTGGAAGAAATCCCTCTGATCAAGAGTGCGTATGAGGAACAGAGGATTAAGGATATGGATCTGTGGGAGCAGCAGGAGGAAGAGAGGGTAGGTTTGTCACTGGTACTGAGTGCAGAAATGGGGTGGGATATCACGGTTTGTTTGTTTTGCATTCTTTTGCTAAAAAAGTCTTATTTATTTTTTATTGGAAAGTTGTGTTTACAAAGAGGAGAAACAGAGAGAAGAATCTTCATGCACTGGTTCACTCCCTAGTGGGCGACAGTGCCCAGAGCTGAGCCATCCGAAGCTAGGAGCCGGTTCTCCCATATGGGTGCTGGGTCCTAAGGCTTTGAGCTGCCGGGACACGAACTGGCACCTGTATGGGATCCCAGCAGATACAGGGTGAGGACTTTAGCCACTAGGCTATTGTGCCAGGCCCTTGTTTATCTTTTTACAATATAGTTGTATGAAAGGCACAGGTAAAGCAGGGACGGAGAGGGTCGAGAGTAAGACAGTAAGAGAGGTGAATTGATTTTTCTTTCACTGTTTTAACTCCAAAATGGCCACACTGAGCAGGATCCTGTGATTGCACCCTGACTCCACGAGGTTCGGCTAGGACCCAAGCCCTCGGTCATCCTGTGCTGCTTTCCTGAGCATGCAGTTGGAGTCTGTTGGTTGAAAGTGGAGTAGCTGGGACTGGAACAAATGCTTATAAGGGATACTGGCAACTTATTCATGATGCCAGCCCCTGTAAATGATTCTTTAATGGTTGCCTGCTAACACATAGGTGGAAAGACAGAGATTTTTATGCTAGAGATTAAAATGAAACTTAGCAAAAGTCTGATTTGCATAGGATTCATGGTTCTTCATTTCACAGGGTTGTTTAACATAATCTTCATACAGACAGTCACACCCAGGGGCACCCCCCACCTCCCATCTTGCATTTGTCTGTAGACTGATTTGTCTGTAGACTGGCCTTTGTGCGATGATTCATGTCAGTAGAGGCACCCTGTGCAGTCTGCACATTGACATCCTCATTTTTGGTCATTTAGTCTATATTAAAGTTTGCCTGGTAGGCGGAAGTGGGATTTGCAGCTGCTTGTGATGGCGAATGCTGGTCTTGGCTATGAAGCGTGACCCAGCTCAGGAGAACACAGGTTCCTGGAACAGGGGTGGAGTTGGCGCCCCGTGGGTCCTACTGAGTATTATCAGCTGGAGGTTGTGGGCCTGGTGCTTACTGCTGGCTCTGCCAGTGTTTAAAGGAAAAGATGGGATTTCTGTGATAATTCTTGATAAATATTTCAAATTGATTACTAAAATAATAGTTGCCACAAGCCAGATAAAATAAAGGAATGATAACATTTCCATCTAAAGGCACCTTAACTTCAATTTGTGTATTTTTTTTTTTTTTTAAAGATTTCTTTTTCTTGGAAAGGCAGATGTACAAAAAGATCTTTGTTTGCTGGCTTGCTCCTGAAATGGCTGCAATGGCCAGAGCTGAAGCCAGGAGCCAGAACTGCTTCTGAGTCTCCCTCGTGGGCACAGGATGCTGAGGCTTCAGCCATTCTCCGCTGCTTTCCCAGGCCACAAGCAGGGAGCTGGGTGGGAAGTGGAGCAGTTGGGACGCAAACTGGTGCCCGTAAGGGATTCCCTGGCACATGCTAGGCGAGGATTTAGCCACTAGGCTTCCTGTTTTGGGCCCCAAATGATTTTTAAAGATAAAAATTACCTTTAAAATTATACCATAGTGTCTATGTGGTGTTGTGTATATCAAGCGGTATTGTTTTGTTTCATCAGTTAAGTTTTTCATTTCTGTTTTAAATTTCTGACTCTGCGGGGTTAAATTAGCAATGTTTGTGTCTGGGAATGCTGCATCTGTCTTGTTCCTGTTTGCCTCCTGGGGGCGTGGCAGTGTGTGTGGCACAGTGCAAAGGCCAAGGAGCAGCGTCTGTTCCCAGGTGAGCACTGAATGCTTGCCTGACATCTGCTGTGTGACGCTCTTGCAGATTACAACTCTGCAGTTGGAGCGGGAGAAGGCTCTGGAGCACAAGAACCGGATGTCCCGGATGCTGGAGGACAGAGATCTGTTTGTGATGCGACTGAAAGCCGCCCGACAGTCTGTATACGAGGTGAAGTTCATCATTTTTTTTTCTTTATTTTTGACAATCTTTACATAGTTAATTAGGGCACAAAGGTCAAGGGCTGCAGGAAAGTGGGTAAGACTGTTATTTCCACACTTTTTTTTCCTGTATCTCGGGTAAATGGGTGATAAAGGGAGAAGCGTGTTCAAGGTGAGGATTTAACTGCTACGCTATCGAGCTGGGCCCAAGCTTTGTTTCTTTGTTTGATTTAGAAAGGGAAAAACTAGATCACGTTTTATTGGTCAAGTTCGTGGGGCTGGACTCTAATGCAATCATTTGGTTTTTTGCAGGAAATCCTGCTGACTGTAGCTGCTGTCAGCAATTTACAGTTTGCAAAGTTTGGTGTAAATGTGGAAACTCCAGTCTTTGGGAATTCTGATTTTTGTAGTTTGATATGCTTGCTGTGATTTCCAAAAATTTGAGGTTTTTGTAAGCCTGAAAGCTTACTATTAGTCTGTAGCTCTAGAAATAAATTTCCTTTCTGACTTTTGGCAACTATCAAATTGCAGGAAAAACTTAAACAGTTTGAAGAGCGGTTAGCAGAGGAAAAACGCAGTCGCTTGGAGGAGCGCAAGAGACAGCGCAAAGAGGAGCGCAGGATCACTTACTATCGCGAGAAAGAGGAGGAGGAGCAGAGGCGGGCGGAAGAGCAGATGCTGAAAGGTGACTGGGGGGTGGGTCGGCGCTGGTTTAGAAGTAAAGCAGTCAGTGGTTGGCCTCTTAGCACCACGGTTAATTGGTAATCAGAAACTAATTAGAAATGCTACATGCTGAATCTTCTTGTTTCTGCTTGTTTTGGGGTTTGTTTTTTAAAGGAATACTGTTTTTATCACTGTGTTATTTACTGGGAATCTTGTGACATGACAGCTGTCAGCAGGAAGGGGGAGGGGCAGCTATGTCCTGCCATTTAATGACGGCAAACTGCTGTAAACTCCTTCACATCAGCGCTGCATGTATCCCAGGCGAGTAGACCCTGCTCCGTGAGAAAGGTGTGAGTAAAGACGCAATTAACTAACCTTGTGAATTGTATAGAGCGTGAAGAGAGAGAACGTGCTGAACGAGCAAAACGAGAGGAAGAGCTCCGAGAATATCAGGAACGTGTCAAGAAACTGGAAGAAGTGGAAAGAAAGAAGCGCCAGAGGGAATTGGAGATTGAAGAGCGAGAGCGTCGGCGTGAGGAGGAGAGGCGGCTTGGTGAGGACCCACTGTCTAGGAAGGTAAGTAGAGAAGTTCAGGTTTGTTCTTTGCAGTCAGGTGTCTTGCATGGTGTCTCTGAATGTCTTAGCTGCTTGTTTAAATCAGTTGTCTTTGCACATCTCTTATTGGCATTTAATCTTCCCAGAGGTGGAATGACCCTAAAGAGGAAATAAATTTGATGTGTGGGAGTTTTGTAGGGTTTGAAATACTTTTCCCAAATACTTGCCAACCAGAATGAGTCTTGGAGTGGAGTGTCCCTTGGTGCTGCAGCAGAGGACTGTCTGCTAGTCCCTTGGCAGAAGTTGCCGTGGTGTGGAGGGTGGTCATGCTCTCAGATCCAGGTTCGGGCTGAGCAGGGTCAGGTGGCCTCAATCCTCTCAGAAGTAGAGGCTCTTGGGACCTGACCCCAAACCTTCTGATTGGTGTCTTACTTAATTTGTTCTGTGCACTTACTGAAAGGGACAAAATGGCTGAGGGATAGGGAGCTGGCTCACTCCCTGCGTGGTCGCAGGCGCTTGGAACAACAGGAGGATGTAAGGTCAGCCCTTGGGGCTGTTTTCCAGATGGTTAGCATCTGCTAAATCAGAAACAGGGAGTAGCTGGTACACAGATGGGCACTGTGACGTGGGGAATGGGGACCCCAGAGGCAGATCAGTCAGCTGCAGTCAAGCCTGCTCCCCACCTTTTAAAAAGTTATTTATTTATTTATTTATTGGAAGGGTAGATAAAGATAGATTCAGGGATCTTTCATACACTGGCTCACTCTCCCAAGTGGCCACAGTGGCTGGAGTTGAAGTGATCGGAAGTCAGGAGCTTCTTCCAGGTCTCCCATGTGGGTGCAGGGTCCCAAGGTTTTGGGCTGTCCCCACTGTGTTCCCAGGCCACAAGCAGGAAGCTGGATGGGAAGTGGAGCATCTGGGACACAAACTGGCATCTATGGGAAGTTGGCATTTGAAGGTGGAGAATCCTCAGTGCCAGTCCTAGAAGTGGCTTAATTTTTAAATTTTTAAAAAAGACTTATTTATTTTTATTGCAAAGTCAGATATATAGAAAAACAGAGAGGAAGATCTTCTATGTAATGATTCATTCCCCAAGTGACCACAGCGGCAGGAGCTGAACCAATCCACCACCAGGAGCTCTTGCGGGTGTAGGATTCCAAGACTTTGGTCCATCCTTGACTTCTTTCCCAGGCCACAAGCAGGGAGCTGGATGGGAGGTGAGACCCTGGGATTAGAACCGGCACCCATTTGGGATCCGGACCTGTGCTGGCCCTGCATCTTATTTTAAGGCTGTATATTATTTTCCACAAATAACCTGAACCTGTGGTGGCTGCAGCTTCCTCCCCCTTTAGTCTTTACAGCTGCTAACAGTTGCAGGGGTAAGCATTTGCAGAAATAAAAAATGCTTGCCTGTATCCAAGAAGAGACACACTTAATGGTCAACAGATTAAACCTGGTGTTTAGGGACAAATTTGAAAATCTAGTGACTAAAATTGCTGACACCAGGGCCTGGTGCAATAGCCTAGTGGCTGAATCTTGACCTTGCATGTGTCAGCATACCATATGGGTGCGGGTTCATGTCCTGGCTGCAGCACTTCCCTTCCATCTCCCTGCCTGTGGCCTGGGAAAGCAGTGGAGGATGGCTCCAAAGCCTTGGGACCCTGCACACCCACGGGTGAGACCTGGAAGAAGCTCTAGGCTCCTGGCTTTGGTTCAGACCAGCCCTGACCATTGTGGTCACTTAATAACTAGTGTGATAGAGTGAACAGTGATGGAAGATCTTTGTCCTCTGCTGTAAATCTTTCCAATGTTAAATAAATTTGTTTTAAAAGTAATGACCACCAACAAATAGATTCATGAAGTTTATTTTGTAGCTCATTGCCTTGGGTTCTGTGTTGGTGTGGTTACACTGAGGCTATTGGTGGCTGCACAGCTGTGTGCGTTCATGTGGAAAAGTGTGCAGAGAAACTAATTCTCCCAAAGGGGCTGGTCATCGAGACATCAGCCTGATATTTGGGAGAGATAGATGCTGTCATGTAGCCATCACAGTTCATTGGCTCCGTCCTTTCTGGCTTGTCATAGGCACTGTGGTTAATTTAGTTTAGTTTGGTTTTCTTTTCCAGATAACCTGAAAAAGAAATTTCTAGATAGAAAATCTGTAGACATGTTAATTGTTCCAGGTTGCTCTCTAGTCGTTGTGCTTGCGTTTACAAGCTGAACGTGGTCTATGGAAATACTAGGCTTACGGCTGTGTCGCTGTGCTCGCTGCTGGGAAAGGGCTGGCAGGGCTGAGGGAGTAGGATCCTGCCAGCTGCCGTCACAGCGCTGCTTCCCGTCCCTCCTCCTCTAGGACTCGCGCTGGGGAGACAGAGACTCAGAAGGCACTTGGAGAAAGGGGCCCGAGGCGGACTCTGAGTGGAGACGAGGCCCGCCGGAGAAGTAAGTGCTGCTTGGTCCTGTTCACGCAGTGTGCCTGCAGCCCTGGGCGCTGAAACTGCTGCTTTGTGGTTGTCCTGAGAGAGAGAGAGAGAGAGAGAGAGAGAGAGAGAGAGAGAGAGATGTTTGCGCAAAGGGCAATGACCAGGGCTGGACCAGGCTGAAGCCAGGAGCCAGAAACTCCATACTGATCAGTGTGAATGGCAGGGGTGCAGGTGCTTGGGCCGTGCTCTGCTGCCATCCCGTCACGTTAGCAGGAAGCTGGATTAGAAGTGGAACAGCAGGGACTTGAACCAGTGCTCTGTTGGATGTCGTCAGTGACTGGGCCTGTGGGACCAAAGCACTGCCCTCTGTTCTGGGTTATGCCATTTACCTACATTGACTCATGTCGAGATGCATTCGCTGTCCGTTTTTTTAATCCTCTAAATAAGTAATTTCGTCTTTTAAAATAACTGCTAATGATAGGCAAGAATATTGGCTTTATTCTAAGTTGAATTTAGAAAGTTCTCGAAGATGAGCGGTTGTCGAGCGGCGCTGTGTGTACAGCACAGACGGCCTTTCCCGGGCAGTGTCGGCATATTGGCAGGGATTGTATCATGTGCTTGTGGTTTAATTAGGGTATAATTTTAAGGACCAGGATCAATGAATATAGACTGGATTGATTTTTTTGAAAGATAATTTTCCAAGAAATCCTGCTTTCTAAGAATTTTGCTTTAAAGATGTGGTTTGTTTCTCTGTAGGGATTGGAGACGCGCAGAAGGCCGGGATGAAGAGCGGCCTCACCGCAGAGAGGAGGACCGGCCGCGGCGCTTGGGAGACGACGACGACAGAGAGTCTGCTCTCAGGCCGGATGACGAGCGCATCCCCCGGCGCGGCCTGGATGACGACAGAGGCCCCAGGCGTGGTCTCGACGACGATCGGTTCTCCCGCCGCGGGCTGGACGATGACCGGCCTTCCTGGCGCAGTGCAGACGACGACAGGCCTCCCCGACGGATTGGCGACGATGACAGGGGCAGCTGGCGCCATGCGGATGATGACAGGCCTCCCCGACGAGGACTGGAGGAGGACAGAGGACCAAGACGTGGGATGGACGAGGACCGGGGGCCCAGGCGAGGTGCTGACGACGAGAGGGCCTCCTGGCGAAATGCCGATGACGATCGAGGTCCCCGGAGGGGCCTAGATGATGACCGTGGTCCCCGGCGAGGCCTGGATGATGACCGGGGTCCCCGGCGAGGCCTGGACGACGACCGGGGTCCCCGGCGAGGCCTGGACGACGACCGAGGACCTTGGAGAAATACCGATGATGATCGAATTCCTAGACGGGGAGCTGATGACGACAGGGGCCCTTGGAGAAACATGGATGATGACCGGCTCTCCAGGCGGGGCGAGGACTCCAGACCCGGTCCGTGGAGACCATTTGTGAAGCCAGGTAACATTGGGATTTTTTGGGTGGTGGGCTATTCAGAAAATTAGATTTTTTTTTATAAGACTTATTTATTTTTATTACAAAATCAAATATACGGAGAGGAGAGACAGAGAGGAAGATCTTCCGTCCGATGATTCACTCCCCAAGTGAGTGCAACAGCCGGTGCTGTGCCGATTTGAAGCTGGGAACCTGGAACCTCTTCTGGGTTTCCCACGGGGGTGCAGGGTCCCAAAGCTGTGGGCCCTCCTTGACTCCTTGACTGCTTTCCCAGGCCACAAGCAGGGAGCTGGATGGGAAGTGGAGCTGCCAGGATTAGAACCGGTGCCCATATGGGATCCCGGCGCATTTAAGGCAAGGACTTCATGCCTGTAGTGTCTGGGAGTGAGCTGGGCTAAAGCTGGGAGGTACTTCAATCCAGTAGTGCAATGTTGATGGCAAGAATTCAGTTAAAGCCATGTCTGCTCCTGTTACCAGAAAGCTGAAGCGAAGGTGCTAGCTGGAGATGCACACACTCCCACGTGAGACTCGAGTCTCACCTGCCGGGCTACCCCTGCACACCCTCGCCTCAGTTCTTTGTACAGTTGCCAGGACAGTCTGCTCCAAGTGGCCTCCTGCCTTCTACTGTTAGTGGCGTCTGTTGCATTCTGTCATTTCTAGTCTCACCTCTTTCCACAGTTGAGCTGTGAGGACCAGGGCACATGAGTTAATTTTACTGTGCCTGATGTAAATGTGGTCAATGGTAGATTCTTGTAAATCATGGATTTTTGAATGTTGAGAAATCCTCGAGCATGCAGGCTCACTTTCTGTGAGCCTGAGGGGTCATAGCTTTTTTTTTTTTTTTTAATGAAAGGCAGAGTCACAAGCAGAAGAGAAGGAGAGACTTGAGAGAGATGTATCCTCCATCATCTGGTTGACTCCCTAAATAGCTGCAGTGGCCGGAGCTGAGCTGGTCTGAACCCAGGAGCCAGGAGCTTCTTCCTGGTCTTCCACATGGGTGCAAGGCCCAAGGACTTGAGCCATTCTGTGCTGCTTTACCAGGCCATAAGCAGGGAGGTACCTGGATCGGAAATGAAGCGCCTGGAACACAAACCAGTGTTCATATGGGATGCTGGTGCTACAAGCTTTGGTCTGACCTGGCCCAGCTGATGTGGGTATCTGGGGAGGAAACCAGCTGTTCTGAAGTTGCTTGCTCTGTTTCTTGGCCTCACAAAGCATTAAAGTGCCATCAGTGTTCATTTTTAGTAGATTTTAAGAAGGCAGGTTCTTTCTACTTCTCTGAAAACTCTGCTGTTCGAACAGTCTGTTTCCGTAAGAACTGACTTGTACTCAGTCTTTGAATACGGGTTTTAGCAGGGCTTTTTGTGAAGTTTGAAAATGTTTTTTTATTGTTACTTTTCTTAAAGGTCAAGTTAGAGAGGGAGAGGTCTTTATCCCCTGATTCATTTCCCAACTGACCGCATGGTCAGTTCTGTGCTATGTGAAAGGCAAGAACCTGGAACGTTTCTGGCACTGGTTCTAATCCCGGCAGTCCTGCTTCTCATTCAGCTCCCTGCTTGTGGCCTGGGAAAGCAGTCGAGGAGCTTCCTTCTGGTTCAGGAGCCCAAGCCTGGCTACGGGACGCCTGCACTGCAGGTGGCAGTTTGACCGGCTGTGCTGTAGCACTGGGCCCCCAAAGTCTTGTTTTCTTACATTAACATTTTAGCATAGTAAGGAACTCATGCCAGCATTAAATTCCCCATGATGATTGCCTATTTTTCCAGTGGAAAAAGTAATTTTGCTTCTTAAAAAATACAGGTGGATGGAGAGAGAAAGAAAAGGCGAGAGAAGAGAGTTGGGGACCTCCTCGAGAATCAAGAGCACCTGAGGAACGTGAATGGGAGAGAGAAAGAGACAGAGACCATCCAGACCGCGAGGAGAATGACAAGGAGTCTGAAAGAGACCGGGACAGGGAGAGGGACGGGGACCGAGAAGAGCGTTTCCGAAGGCCCAGGTAAGGTCCACTGCCCGCACCGGGTGGGCCGGTGCTGCTGCTTCCCTGCAGCTCTTACTGTGGGTTCCAAACCCCCTGCCCGGTCCAAGATACAGCAATGCAGCTTTAGAGGCTTCTCTGAATGATAACATGGAGGCTTGAGCTGATATAGGCCCAGTCCATATGGCTGCAGTTTATTGCCCTTATAGTTTCAAAAGCCTCTTACCTAGTTCTAGCATGTTCCATTTGCCAAAGTGATACATACAGGAGAGCCCTTTTTCCGTCCATGGTCTGTCGCACGGGGCAGCAGAGCAGAGGCTGTGAGCAGAGCTGTGGTCTTGGTCATCTGCTCTTGGTGCGAGGACTCCGATCAGGGCCTGGTGCTGAGCACAGACTTGATCTGCCGTGCTCACCCTGCACACAGCTGCACAGCTCCACAGGCAGCAGGAAGAGCTTCATTTGTCCTCTCATGCACTGCAGGGATGAAGGCGGCTGGAGGCGAGGACCAGCTGAGGAAGCTTCTAGCTGGAGAGATTCAAGTCGCCGAGATGATAGGGATGACCGGCGCCGAGACGACCGGCGGGATCTGAGAGATAGACGGGATCTGAGAGATGACCGGGACCGGAGAGGACCCCCCCTGAGATCAGAGCGCGAAGAAGGTATGGTGACATGGCAGGCGCATGTGGTGTCTGATACCCTGAGGACCCCTCCTTGGCAGGCAGGCTGCGAGCGAGGTGGAGCTGTCTGGGTGTTCACAGTGCTAAGGAGTGGTGAGCAGAGGGGGCACTGACTGAGCGTGAAGCTTACCGGGCGTGCACACTGTTGCTCTGAAATTGCAGTGCACGTAGCAGCTGCTTCCTGAATGTGGTTAGGATGCGTCCTTACATGCTTGCCTTACTTAGAAATGGTCAGTGTTTTAGCTGTACAGTAGGCCGTTCGTTCTGTTAGCACAACAATTAACAGCTTTCGTATTGTAATGGCTAATTTGCTGTTAGAATTCTTAATAATCGCCCGGAACTCCTGTAGTTTAAAATTTGTCACTTTGCTCTGAAGATTTATACAAGTTAAGACATATCTCAGAGAAATAATTTGATCTTATTTTCAACTTTGAGTTGTATCTGTAGGTTGGTAGTTTATTTTCAATATCTTGTCAGAAATTACATAAATGATTATAATTACCTGTTGTTTTTAATTGTGATAACACTATTTTTTGAAATTCAACTTTTTAGTAAGTTCTTGGAGGCGTGCTGACGACAGGAAAGATGACCGAGCCGAAGAGCGGGAACCTCCTCGTCGAGTTCCTCCCCCAGCTCTTTCTAGGGACCGGGACCGGGACCGAGAGCGGGACCGAGAGCGGGATCGGGATCGGGATCGGGACCGGGACCGGGACCGGGAGCGGGACCGAGAGCGAGAGGGCGACAAGGAGAAGACCTGGAGAGGTGACAAGGACAGGGAGTCTCTGCGGCGCACCAAGAATGAGACTGATGAGGACGGGTGGACCACAGTGCGCCGCTAGGTCCCCAGGACGGATTCCAGCCGCCGTCTTACCTAGGTTTGGTCCCATTCAAGGATTATTATACTTGTGCTTCAGCCAATTTCAATTGGGTTCTTTAACCTTGTTTCACCATTACACAAAAGCATGAACTTGTATTAATCCTATATATTAGATTGATCATGCACCATATCCACAGAAGGTTGGAAAACCATGCCATTTTCTGAAATTTAAGGTGTTGCATTATTCATCAATCATTTGTTTACAAAAAAGGAAAATTAAAAAATAAAATGTGAACCCTTCAGGTATTGAGTAACACCTGTATCTTGGTATAGAATTGATCCTTTTCTTTTGATTTTGAAATATCTGATATTAATTTGGAATGAGAATTTGGAATAAGGTTCTGTTTAAAATGTGTCTGTCTGAAGACCTTTTAGGGCAGTGGGCCTGAGACAGTTTCCATATCACTTAGTAATTGTAACATACCTCATTTAGGAATTTTGAGGTATTTACTGCGAACTAAATTTGCAAAGACTTTAGATCCACTCTGCAGTAAACATCACACACATTGGATCCAGTGGGGTCTTCTGTAGCTTTCACTTGAGGCAAGGTGAGTACAAGGCTAGTACAGGCATGATAAGGATGCTGCTCAAGTGGGAATCCAAAATAACAAGGCTTTTACATTTTAAAGCATTTGGTAAACTACCGCTGAGGGTTTTTTTTTTTTTTTCCTGTTGCCAATAGCAAACTGCTTTTCCATTAATGGAGAATTCATGCCTTTCAAGCATTTTAAATATGACAATATTTATAAATGTGTGGTTTGGAGGAACTGTTTAAATTCTTTGCTAATTTTCTTTCTCTTCAGGATAGATTCTTTCCACGAGTAATTTGTAGTAACGACTGTGCTGGCTTCAATTTTGGAGTGTCGTAGCTGTGTTAAAGATGAACTATTTGGTCTTATTGAAGCCAACACAGAACTTGCTGCTGTGTTTTTTCTTCAGTGAAAAATAAAATACTTACAGAATTTGTTTTACTGTTTTTTGTTTAGTGCTGAATTTGTCAGTGTTGTGTTTATAATGGTAAGCATGCACATTCAGCTGGGTTTATTTCACTTGAGTGCCATTCAGCATCTCAGTGTTGAGCATTAGTGAAGATTGCAAGTAGCCTTGTTTGGGTGTTGCCCCTCAAATGTCCTCTGTTAGCTCCTTGTAATGCTGTGAGTTGGTGTACTTGCTGTAAGGTGCCACCTTTAGTTAGAAAAGCTCTAGTTTCTCCAGAAAATCATTTGCTTCCTGTATTTGCTTGTTTGCTCCCCTGCTGCCGGTGCAGTGCAGCTCAGGCCAGGAGAGGGAGTCGTGATGGCGGTTGACTCCTGGACTCTTAATTTCAAACCGCAAGGGGTCTTCTGTGGGGAGGGGCCCTTTCTTTCATGGCAGTAAGACTTTCAGAGCACTGATTTTTATAGAGGATAATTTCACCCCGGTGAGTTGGTGTTACAGTTGTCACACATCACAGAAAAGCCTGCTGAGATGTTAGGTGCACACGTGATGGATGGGTCCAAAGGCTGGTCTCAGGGCCTGGCTTTCGGCACAGACTTTTCCAAGCATGCCCTTGCAGCTGCTTTGTCTTGGAAGTCAGGAATCAAGAGGCCAGGAGGTGGTGGCAGGGTCTGCTCCCACTCTGCCATCTTCCCTTTTTATTGGCAGATGTTATAGGAAAGCTAAATTGCTTACCCTGTCACTGATGTGCCTTTTTGCATGAGTAACATTGTCCAGCACAGTGGCTCTGGGGGCAGAAACATTGTCCACCAAGACACTGTCCGCTTGTCCTCAGTGCAAGAGTTGCAGCTAGGGGTGGCATGTTTTTAGTCAAGGTTTTTTTTTTTTTCTTTTTTTTTAATCTGTTGGTCTGTTTCCTAAATCCCAACAAGATAATGGTCCCTGCTGGGACTGAAGCCAGGAACTGAGTTCAGGTTTCCCACACGGGTGACAGGGTCTTAGTCACGGGAGCCACTAGTGCTCTCTCCTGGGCTTTGCATAAGTAATTGAAGGACATGGGGGGTATCAGAAAAAGTTGCTTTAATCAAAGCTAGCAATTTTGCAGCTTCAAAAAAAGACCATAGAAAACAATGCAGAAAAATAAAGTTGTCACTGGGATGTGTGACGGAAAAATGAGTAATTGCCTCAGCCCCCGGGTCAGCCCCCTCCCCTCCCGGGGCCGAGTGAAGCTCCTTGGAAGACAGCTTGGCTTGGTTCTTAGTCTTGCCTACAGCGGGTTCTACACAAGAAGATGCCTCTAAATCCCAAAGATCCTGTTTTACCCTTGCAAACTATCTGCAATTTGTTGTAAAAAATGCAATGTTGAAAAATCCACAGATCTGGTGGGGGGTGGAATAGGGAGGGAATTCTTAAATGGGTTGAAATCTTGGCTGAGTAGTGGGGTTGGTCTTGTACTCCTCACCTCCCAACATCACACACAATGTCCCCACTGGCAGAGGTCACAGAAGACTGGATTAGTGTGACACCATTGAGATGCCAAGGCCACACGCCTGAGACCCTAAACCTGCTGGGCCTTCTGGCCTGGAGAACACATTGGTCTCTACGGGGACCCTTAGAGAAGAATTACCCAGAAAGCAAAGACCATTTTAACTGGCTGATTTCCTCATACAAGAACAGTTACATACCTTTATCAGGTTGTGGCATAGCCAGCTCTGCGGTGCTCTGATTTGGGGCTTAAGCTGGCAGGGACCTTGCAACCCCCTTGGCTCTGATGCAGCTCTCCTTGGCCAGAAAGGCTGGCAGCTGCCCAGTGTTAACTTATCCCAATTTGGCACACTTATAAACCAGTGTCCCACATGAAGCCAGTTTGCTGTGGAGGAAACTAGCTGTTCAGTGTCAGCAGTCTAACTCCCAACACCCTAGCTGAATCTGGGCGCCTTTCATGACTTGGACTGAACCTATGGCTGATATTTTCAGATAGTGAAGTGTGTGCGTTTTGGAAGAGTGTTGACCTGGCTACATGATGGGAATGGCCTTCCCCAAGGGTAAATTTTAACATGAAGGTGTTAAGGTGCAACTGTGGTTAGGAGCTTTTGTCAAGAATCGAGTGTCACTTGGGGCTAACGAACAGAGCCTAGGGGTGGTCCGGACAGGAGTAATTCCACAGCGAAGGTTGTGCTCCTCGCTGCCAACCACCACCAGCCGCAGTGCCTTTGCACATCCTGGCATGAGCCAGACCCAGCAGAGCCAAGCCCTTCCTCGCACGCTAGTACACAAGCCTCCCAGAGCTCCAGGAGCCGGTGAGAGGCGACAGCTGGGGTCAACCTTGCTCCACTGTGGAGCCCAGTCCAAGCAGTTCAGGCTAGGCTATTGCCCCTGTGTTACCTTCCTCCCTCTTCTGGTCGTAACACCAAACATTTCCAGAGAGCTGTAAGCGGGTTGGACGCCCAGGAGAAAAGGCCAACTAGGAGTTGTGACATAAGTAAATGCAAATACTGTTAATACTATAAATACACTTTAACAGCACCATTTCCAAGTGTATACACAATATGGTTATGACTTGGCACAATTTCTAAAGGTGAAAAAGGCTAGTTGAATAATAAAAGAGCTGGTACAGAAAAGCATGAGCTGTATTCTATCTGCTACAGATGCACGTCTTACACCTCCAGCTAGGAAGGAAACGAGCTCCGTCCAAACTAATACTGTCAAGTTTACGGTGAAGGCACCAGGGGCTTACCCCACCTGGAATTAGAGTAACTGAATAAGGACAACTAAAGCATTACTTGCGTCAAACAATAAAATAGTCATTTTTGTCGACATTCCATAAAATCGCCAGTTTTAAGCTCAGTTCAGAGGCCATTAAAAATATTCCAGACCTAATAAGGTGCCTCCGTTGGTAAAACGAAATATCCAAGATTAGAGCGAGATTCCATACTGATGCGCATCTAAAACAGGTACGCGGAATTGCCGTGTTCAGCCAGCGGAAAATAACACCCAGCCACGAGAAACCGGGGAGATGCAGACTTGAGTGTCCAGTCCCAGGCGCTCAGCGCCAAAGTCGTCCTCAGAATCGGTTGCTTTGCCAAACTCCCGAGACCCCGTGCCGAGTGGGTTCCGGGGCGGCCACAGAGGCTCGGGAGCAGACCCGGCTCGGCGAGCCCACAACATCGGCTGTGGTCCTCAGCGCAGCTTCTTGCACGCCAGGCTGTCTCGGGCGCTGCGCGGCGGCGGCCGAGCGGTAGGCGGTGGTGGCGGCGCTTTGGAAAGAGGGCAGTATTTGATGGTGTGCGCGTTGTCGCCGCTGGCGCCGCACAGGGGGCACGTGTAGCGGCGCAACACGGGGCACAGCACGCGCCCGTCGGGCCCTTTCAGGATGTGCGTGGTGTAGAGCGCCTCCGCCTCCTTGTTGTTCCGGCAGAACACGCACACCTGCAGCTCCGGCTTGAGCAGTCGGGCGGCGGCCGGCCCGGGGGCCGCGTGCAGCCGGGGTTCAGCCGCCCACGCCGCGACCCTTTCCCCACGCGGAGTCCCCTCGGTGGCGACGGCAGGCGCGCAGCCCAGCAGCACGGCGGTGGCGCGGCCCGCGAAGGGGCTCAGGTCGGCGAAGCGCTCCTCCAGCAGCCCGGCCTCGGCGGGGCCCGCGCACAGCTCCAGCGCGCGCAGCTCCAGCGCGCCCCCCGCGCAGCGGCCCCGGGAGCCCGGGTCGTCGCTCGCGTCGTCTTCCTCCTCGTCGTAGTCGGGTCGCCCCAGGGCTGGTGCCAGCGTCCCGGGCCCGGCGCTCGCGTGCGGGGAACAGCAGGACGAAGAGGAGGAGGAGGGCGGGGAGCCGCCGCCGCCGTCCCCGCTACCGCCACCGGCGCAGCCGAAGCGCGACTCGCTGCCCACCGCCTTGGTGATGAGGGTGGCGAGCCCCAGGTAGTCGTTCCACGAGCTGAAGGGCTGAGGGTTTGTCGGGCCCGAGGCGCTCACGTAGCGGGCGCTGGGAACGAGCGCCATGGGCGCGGGGGCGCGGCCGCGGCGGGGCGAGCGGGGCGCCCAAGGGAAAGCCTCCATGGGCGGGCTGCGGGCCGCGCGCCGCCTCCCCGCCGGCGCGGGCCGGACGGAAGGGACGCGCCGAGCCTGCCCGCGAGCCTGCCGCGGGGTGCGGCCGCCTCGCAGCTCTTTATCGGGCCCTCTGCTCCCCGCCCCCTCCTCGCCGCCGCGGCCCTGCCCCCTGCGCTCCCCCGCCCCGGCCACCGCGCCGCGCCCGGGCCGGAGGCGGAGCGCGGGCGGGCGGGCGGGCGGGCGCGCCGGGGGCGGGTGCTGGGCGCGCTCGGCTCGGCCCGGCTCCGGCTCCCCGCGCGCCGCACGGGCCTCGCCGGCTGCTTTCATTGGGGAGGGGGCTGCGAGGCGCCGCCTCGGGCCGCGGCGCTCATTGGCTGAGGACCAGAGACAGCCCCCACCCCGCGCCACGGGCGCCGCTCCGGATGCTGATTGGTGGGCTCGGAGACGGAGATGCGCTGCCGGAGCAGCTGGGCGGCGAAGGGTGGCTGCTTCGGCCAACCTTAGGCTGCCGCTGCACGTGGGGTGGGGGACAGGTGAACCTGCCTAGGGGTGCCGAGGACAGAGTCTACACACCCTTCTCCTGGCCTCGAAAGGCTCCGGCTAATGGTCCTTTCCTCTCCTCTCTCCGCCCATCAGACATGCCAGCCCCTGCCCCACCCCCCGCTGTCAGAGCCCTGCGTTTGTACCTTGCTCTGGCGCGCTCTCCCGGGGCTCAGACCCCGCTTTCAGAAAGCTACCTGTCCTAAGCGGCCGAGGGACTCCCGACTATCTCACTTCGTGCAGCGCCTTTAGCAACAGGTGGCTGGGGCAGTGGCAGAGCCAGGGTCTTCCAGCCGCGACTGACAAGTGTCTGTATGAGTCGTTCCTCAGACCTCGGACCTGGATCTCAGTCTGGAGTGCGTGCAATTTGACAAGAAAACATACTCTGTAATTTTAAAAAAAGATCTATTTATTGGAAAGTCAGATATACAGAGAGGAGGAGAGACAGGAAGATCTTCCGCCCGTTGATGATTCACTCCCCAAGTCGTTGCAGTGGCTGGACTGACTGAGCCAATCCGAAGCCAGGAGCCCGGAGCTTCCTCTGGGTCTCTCTTGAAGGTGCAGGGTCCCAAGGCTTTGGGCTGTTCTCGACTGCTTTCCCGGGCCACAGGCAGGGAGCTGGATGGGAAGTGGGGCAGCCGGGATTAGAACTGGCGCCCATATGGGATCCTATAATGCATGGCAAGGACTTCAACCACTAGGCTACTGTGCTGGGCCCTATAATGTTAATACTTGGAAATAAGTTTTTTTTTTTTTTAAGAATGACTTTTTAAAATCAACAGATTAAGAGTTTGACAATGACAATCTAGCAGGACAGTACAACCTGCAGTGTATTTACCAGTGGAGTTTACCAGTAGCTTGTGAACACACAGTCTGGCTTCTAGTACCTGCTGTTTTCTGGGCTGCCACCCCCACCCCGTGCAGCTACGGATGGCCTTTTAGCGCAGTTCTAAACAGTAACATGTAGATGAAAACCCTTGGGGCTGCCCCCTACCCCACAAAATACAAAAAGATTGTTTTTGACAGGGCATGAAGTCCCTTCTTTGTTTAGACAGGCACTGTAGTCTGTGAGCTCACCTGGATGAAAGACAAACACACATACAACAGTTAGAAGCCATCTCTGCATATCCACTCATGGACAGCCTGGAAAACTGTCCTAGCAAGATAGCCCCATCTGCTGCTGGTACGTGAGGCAGATGTGATCACATGGATCACCTCTTGGGACTGCAAGTTATCTAGCTGTGGGTTTGGTGACCTGGGTCCTGGCACTGAGCACCACTGGGGTAGAGTGCCATTAAAGCAGATGGTGAGGAAGACAGCTCTGCCACAGGCAGGTGCTGTTGGGCCAACGAGAGCGCCACGTGCGGAAGAATGAAGCTAGGCTCCAACTGCCTCATCCTGTGTGTGCAGAAAAGGAACTCCAGGAGGGTCAGCAACTTAATTATATCAATTAAAACCAAGTATGTGTTAGAGAAAAAATGTAGATCATCATGTGCGGGGACTTGGCAGTGGAATTTCAGAAAGTGGGAGCAACAAGAGAAAAGGTAAACCCAGCGAAGGCTTTTGTGTGTTACAGGGCAAGATGGCTTTTGCTCAGGAGCTTGAGAGGGTGGTCTTTCTTGCCCTTCCTTGCAGTTCCCCCTGCCGCCTTTTAATTGAAGAGGACTGAGAGTGTTTCTAGGATGGGGCCAGGGAAACTTCTGGTGGGTGGGTGGGTAGGTGGGGGGCTTTGTGTGGGCAGCGATTCCCTTCCCCACTGGGGACCTGGCAGTGGTGCTGGAGACAATGAGACAGGGTACCTGAAGCTGGCAGCTCCCATTAGAGTCTGGCTGTGCCAGCAGGTTTGCTCTGGTCCACAAGCCAGCACCAGCATGGGTTGCCATTACTATGGATCAGAATGCTCACAGTGCAAGTCAGCTTCACAGATGAAGAAAACAAGACCCGGGGCAGAGGAGGGACGTCCTGAGGTCCCACAGTGATGAAGGGACAGCCAGAACTAGGAGTCAGGCCTCTCGCTCCAAGTCTGCTACAGCAAACGTGCAGCAGGTGTCCCAGAGCCCGCCTGTGCCTGCATCAGCAGCCATCGATTGAGAGGGGAGAAGGGAAAATGCCACTGTGTTCAAGAGCCCTGCTCCTGTGCACATGCGAGGTGTGCGTTAGAGTGGGCGCCAGTGTTCCATAAAGAACTCCAGGAAGAGAGGAGATGCCAGCTGCTGCCGCTGACGGTCCAGTCTGGCCCAGGCTGCCTTTCCCATCCTTGTGATTGTGCAAGGAGCAGAGGAATTTCTGCCAGGTGTTGGCTTGGGAGCTGCTGTGTGTGGGACTCGGGGCAGAGGTATCTCCAGTGAGGGTCTGGGGTCTGGCTGTGGGCTGGTTTCCCAAGCTCCTGTCACTGTACCAGAACTGGAAGGGAGGCACAGCACAGGGCCCGGGGGGGTGAGGGGGGAACAGGGAGGCTCTGCTGAGTGGCCACAGAAGGGTCAGAGTGGGCACTGCTGGGCGCTGGGTTGGACCACAGCTGCTTTGTTCACTGGCAGAGGCACAGTCTGACCCCAAGCATGCTGCTGGAACTGACCTCAGGGGGTTTCTGGAGCCTCCGATGAAGGCTGATCTTCCTCTGTGAGCTTTCCAGGAGTGGGGAATGACCCAGATGGCCACAGCCAGAGAACGAGCATCTCTTTAGGGCAAGTCTGCGTCTCGGTGATGGGAAGCAGCTGGAGGTGGGGGCCGGGGCGGCTCTCAGACGCTGGAGGGTGGGTGGTGCTTGTCCAGGCTGCTTGGGCTCCGCATTCCTACCTCGCTGCCTGTCCTGTACCCAAGCCACTTCCTCTGCCGACTGCGGAACCCAACGGTGAGGGGCAGCCATAGGTCTGGGTGAGGTCAGCCCCAGGGAGCGAGGCAGCTTGGTCCCTGTCCGGGCAGCGTTTGTAGGTCCTTCCGGGTCCCGGGTTAGAGCCAGCCAGGAGCAGAGAGGCCACGGGAGGAAGTGGGCCCTTCTGCACCCTGGGACCTGGTTGCTATCCAGGTCTTCAGCAGTGTCTCCTGAGGCCTGGGAGCAGCCTTAGAGCGCCTCGACGGCTTCCGGGGATCAGCCAAAGGGCTCCCCAGGCGTAGCAGCAGCCGTTTCCGGCTTCCGGCTCCCGGCTCCCGTCATTCGGTGGGGTCCTCCCTGTGCCCCAGGGGAGCCCGGCTCCCATTTCCTGGGTCATGACTGGGTGAGGAGAGGCCTGGAGACCCAGTCCTGGCCCCGGGCTGGAGTTTGCTCCCCGTTTAGAAAGGGAGAACAGATAAATGCAGAATTGGAGGTAGCTCAGCCCTGGGGCCTTCAGGACTGGCGGTGGCCAGCCAGCGGGGAAGGGTTACGGCTTTGCAGGCCAGGAAACGCGGCTGGGATGCTGCGGTTGGTGTCTCGGTGTCTTCTCAACAAGGTGGGTCCTGCCTTCACGGTTTCACTCTCTTAGAGGGACAGCATCCTTTACTTGCGGCTTGCTTCGTTTTCAGTGAGAAGTGGTGAGGTGCATCGGGCTTTTCTGTCCAAAAGTAACCGGCCAGGAGGAAGGGACAACCACGTCAGAATTGTGTGTGACAAGGCTGGGCTGGAAGGTGGCGTTCCCCATCTTCACCCACCTGGTTTGGGCTAAGGCCTCCCAGTTGAGGGCGGTAATAACGCCCTGTGGCTTGGCCTCCCGCACCCCCAGCCTCACCCGTCACTGCCTGCAGGAGCCCCAGCCTCGGGGGCAGGTGCTCTGCCTGCCTCTTACAAAGCAGCGAGGTTGCACCTGTCATTCTTCCCAAAGCAAGGTGGGGGCGCCTCTTCAGTTGCACGTGGTATTTCTGGGGCTTCCAGGGTACAGGCTGGGTGGCAAGGGAGGGACTGGCCAGCAACACGAGGCTGCAGGGGTGGGAGGATGCATTGTTTTCCGGTTCTCAGTAGCCTGGAACTCAAGGTTTCTGTTTCGGGCAGCGTGTGTACATAGCAGGGGTGCTTAGGCACAGAGCCCTCGAGCCCTTGGTGCTGTGGGCTTCAACTCGGCATTCCAGAAATCGTCCCCGGGGCCCTCCCGACCTCTCGGGAGAGCCTGCACTGTTGACTTTCACACTGCTGGATCCTGCCTTGGCCCACAGATGTGCGTGCCTTCGGGATTCCCACCTTCGCTGCTTCCCTAACGGGATCTTTCACCTTTATGTGAAAGGCAGAGAGAGTGAGAGCTCTCTCGTCTGTTAGTTCATTCCCCAAACACCTACATCAGCAGGGCTGGGCCAGGCCAGGCCAAGGCCAGGAGCTGAGACTCGGTCTGGCTCACCGACCTGGGTGGCGGGGATCTAAGTACTTGAGCCATCCCATGCTGCCTCCCAGGGGCGCCCGACGGCAGGAAGCTGCAATGAAAAGCCAAGCTGCATGGAACCCAGGCGCTCTGAAGTGGGGTGCGAGTGTCTGTCCTGCAGGCCGCCCGCTGGCTTGGCATTCCTAGGTGTCCAGCCTCATACTTCAGTGCCTCTC